GAAACTACTCGGATCTTATTACCCCCTCAGGTACTTCCTTCATCTGTTTAATCAAAGAACCAGTTTGACTCAATTTTCGGGAATGAGGAGATCTGAAGGGGCTTGGCCAGGCTCCGGGGCCCGGTCCCTGGCCGTCAGTCCACCCGCAAGCCCCTCGCCCCTCGCCCCACAGCCAAAGCAGTAAGAGGGGAGGGTGGCCGCAGGGGGGCGCTCCTCTTACCTGGCTGGGCATGGTGGGAGGAGGGGGCCAGAAGTAGGGGTTGTTGAATCGAGGCTCGGCCATCCTGCGGGGAGAGAGCGACTGTTACGGGGAAGAGGGCCCTTCCCACCAGCTTGGGGCGACCTCAAGTCGGAGCCAGTGCGTGCGACCCTCACCCCGCAGCGGGGCAGGCCTCCTACCAGGGCCAGGGAAGGGCACCTCAGGCTCAGGAGTCGAATGCAGCGGCTCCCTCAGTGGGCACAAGGGTCACATCCAGACCACAGTGCTGCCAGCCCCTCCTGAAACTGCAGACCAATCCCCACCCCCAGAAGGAACCGGCAGAGCCAACCCATGGACCCGTGGATTCTGCACTAACATCACCCCTCTCCCCCCCCACCCCCGCTTCAAAGGCAAACAGGAGTCCTGGGCAACCGTGTCAATGGCCACAGCAGAGGCAACGGGCCGTCCCTCATCCCTGCTCCTATGACCCATGGCCCCTCAATGCAGACGCCCCCATCACAACACAGGGCAGCCTGAGTCAGCAGGTACGTCTTTCTGAGAGGCAACTTGGCCGGACGACTTACAAGGACCCAAATGGTTATTGGACTTTGACCCAAGAAACTGTACCTCTGGAAAGTGACCTTTAAGATACAAGCATGGCCGTGGGCAACCCTTTACCAGGAGAATGTGTCAGGTCGCTGTGCACAGGAGGGGGCGGAGGGGGCCTGAGGCTCGCGCCCTGGGGCTCCTCAGTAGAAGTGACTATCTGTCTGGTGGCCCTGGCCTCCCAGTCCCATGGCAGGCCTGTGCGGTCAGAAGGCCTTTCAACCAGGGAAGTATGCGGGATGGGCCTTCAAAGCTAACAGTCTTCCTGTGGCCCTGGAGTGAGAAGTGCCGTACAGGGACCATGCTGGGCCGAGGGGTTCCATTGTCTTGCTTCCTACCCCATTTCTCTTATTTAACAGAAATTACTAACTAAATACCTAACTGATCTCATTGCTTAAATGAACTTATTTTGATAGGCAAGGCCAAAAGGAAGTGTCTTCAACCTCTTTTCCTGGTCCTTACAAGCCTGAGAAGCCCCTACTGGAGTTGAAGACAGAGGTTTCAGGAGAAAACCTCAAAAAGGTTAAATCTAATCTCAACCCTTTAAGAAAGATGTTTTATGTGAGTTATCTCTTGTGATCCTTACGTAAGAAGGCACAGAAGGTATTATAACCCCAAATTACAGGTGAGGAAACTGAGGCCTGGAGAGAAGGGAAGAGAGCTGCTCAAGACCACAGGGCTAGGGTGTCAGAGTCAAGACTAGAAATCAGATTTGCACAAGTTGGTTCCTCTTGTAATTTGCTTTGTAAACCCCAGTCTCAGTTGAGCAAATAGCCACATGCCAGTAAGTCAATACCTGTATGCAAAAATCCTGGCCTCTCACTTCCAGCCTGGGGTGGTCTGGGTGTGAGCCTGGCCAGCCTGGGCATCAGAATCTTCCTCTGGGGTGGCCAGGGCAGCCCCTGCCTAACAGGTCTCCTGCTCCCACCACCTGCAGACGCCAAGCTGCCCTTCCCCCTACCCATGCCTCGCAGCCCCATACAAGCAGCACTTCCTGCCTGGAGTTCTCCCAGAATGCTCCAGGTGCCTGGGGGTTCTTTGAGAAAGACCTCAAAACAATAACAGGAGGAGGCTGCCGTGGGCCAGGCACATTGACTCTGAAAAGCAGGTGCTCTCATCCCCCACATTTTACCACGGAGGAAGCTGAAGTTCAAAAAGGTGGAATGACTTGGTCAAGGTCACACAGCAAGTAAGCAGAGAGCTCAGACTCCCACTCTAAACTGCCTGAGTCTGCGGTCCAGCTCATCAGTCCCTTAGCTGTTCCGGCCCAGAGGTTATATTAAAGTGAGTTGCATGATAGAATGAATAGATGAAGGCATGATCATCGGAATTATTTTAAAGACAAACCCACACGACTATCTAGCGCTGCTGACAGTTTACCAAGCTCTTCTGCACCCACTGGCATTCTCATCAGAGCCCCGGGGAGCAGCGAAGAGTGTCCACCCCCATTTCCTAGAGGAAGCAGCCAGGGCACTAGGAGGGAAGTACTTTGCTCCAGGCACGTGGATGGGGAAACGGGAAGGGGCGCTGGGCTGCAATGGTGGGCATCGGCTCTCTGGGCATCAGTTTTCCTCGTCTGTAAAACGGGGTGAAACACCCCTGGCCCAGGACTCTGTCCATTGCACCCAGCTGTTCCTCAGGCAGTTCTGGGGGAAGCTGTCCTCTCCTCCTCGTCAATCCAATGCCGAGTTCAGGCTTTCCAAAGCCCGACCCTGGTCAGAAAGGATGTGGAAGAGGGTGGCTTGCTTAGGGTCCCACAGCTGCCACAGAGCATCTTCTCGGCCATTTACCAGGCCCCTGGCCAGACAGGGACCACCCCTCACCTTGGAGGGGAAGCAGGCCCAGAGAGGGGAAGGCTCTGCCCTGCGTCTTTAATCTGAGCTGCACAGCCTCTGCCTAATGTCTGCATCCTTCTCTGGCTGGTCTGAAATAACTGAATGATTCAGTTGATGACCTTGGTCCTGGTGTATCCCTACTGTGTGTCAGATGCAGGGAAGGCTGGCTGAGGTGGGGCGGGGGGAACACGTGCGAGTTCCTACTGAACGTCAGACACATCGCTAGGTGTGCACCCAGAGCATCTAATGTGAGTCCCCCAGCAGGCCGGGCAGGTGGGTGTCCACCTGTGCAACCCCGGACCTGCATGACAAGGGGGGAGAGGGCTGGCAAGGGGGAGGGGGAAAGGTGGCCAGGGCTGGGCTAAGCCCCTCAGACCTTCTTTTGAGGGAGGGCTTTAAGCAGGAGAGAGACTGGACAGATGTGTGTTTAGGACAGAGGGCATTCCTGGCAGAGGCACCAGCTTGAGCAGAGGTATGCCAGTCCAAGGCAGGTTTGGGACAGTGAGCAGCTACCCACTGGCATCAAAGAGAGAGCTGGAGAGTGGGGGGGGGGGGTGAGAGCCACAGGCCAGTTGGCAGGGCCTTGAATGCCACGCTAAGGTGTTGGGATGGATGCTGGTGGTGAGAAGGCATCAGGAAGTGTTCTGGGCCAGGGGGGCAATGAGCCTAAGGGGTCAGAGGGAGAAGCCTGGGGACAGCGCTGGGGGCAGAGGGGACAGAGGCAGAGCAGACTGGGTGGGGCTGAGTGTCCATGGCAGAACAGGCAGAGGAGACAAGCTGGTGGTGGGGAAGGACACGTGGACTGGGCTTCAAGCCCCAGACAGAAGCCTGGACTCTGTACTGCATCCTGGGACAGATAGCACTGATCCTTGCAGTGGGGCTATCATTTGGGGGTTTTTGCCCTAAAAGGGGGGAAGAGTTGGATGGGTGGATGAATGAAACACCTTCCAGAGCTGCCTCTGAAAACAGCATCCTGATGGCAGCTGCCCATCCACCCACCCGTCCGTCCATCAGTACATCCATTCATCCTGAATGCACCTTACGGGCCAAACAGGGAGCCAGTGCTGGGGAGCCTGAGGCAAACAGAAGAGCGCTGCCCTCTGGGAGCCCCACGCTGAGTGGAGGAAGCAGACAAGTAACCCAGGTTCCTGAGAAAAAGAACCTTTGCCTAAGAAACCTACTCCATGCCACTGAGGCACGTAGTCAACGCTGACAGGCCATCCTCCAGTTCTACCTGGCGTCCCTGCCACCGGGTCCTTTGGGAAGATCTGTGTGCGTGACCCCTGGCTCCCTCATCTCAGTCTCTTTCACAGCAACCCCACCCCCTGGGCTGCTTAGGGTAGCACAGGTGATTCTTCTCTCCCACTGACCTCAGTACCTGGGTGGCCCACCTACTCTAGGACCTTAAATGCCAACCAACCCCCAAGTCTCTGCCTGCAGCCCTGGCCTCTTCCTAGAGCTCCAGACCCAACTTGCCGGCTGCCTCCCTGACACATCCCTCTGGCTGTCTCCCAGCCTCTCAGACTCAGCAGGCCTAAGCCAGGCTTGGTCTTTCCCTCGATGGACACCTCCTCTAGCCATTCCCAACTCCAGGAGGGCCTCCCCAGCTGCCCATATGCTCTTGCCACATACATACATTGATCTACAACACTTCCCCCCTCTTCCCAGTTCAGATCCATCGCCAGCCACATCCTCAGAATTCTCACTTCCTTCCACAAGTCCTAGCTACACTCACCTCACCTGGCCATGGAACAGCCTGCTTTGCTTGGAGCCCAGTGCACCCAGGTTCAATTCTTGGCTCAACTCACCAACTGTGTGGTCTTGGGCAAGTCACTCGCTTCTGCCCCCCCGAGCAAGGGAAGAGCAGCCCAGAGCCAGGGGCCTGACCCAGGATGGACAGAAAGGATCAGGGAAGATTTCCCAGGGGCAGTGATGCTGGCTTTGGGTCTTAAAGGATGAGTGGGAGCTAGCCAGGCAAAGGAGTGGGGAGCACTCCTGGCAGAAGGAGCAGCCTGAGCAAAGGCCCAGAGGTGAGCAGCCACATGGCATGTGAGGGGCTAACGCGTTCCGGTGTGGACTGGGAGACAGGACACGAGCTGGAGCCATCAGCCGGGGCCAAACCCAGAAGGTCGATTCCTGAATCCTAGGACTGGAGTCTGGACTTGAAGCAGTGGGTGATGGGACGGAATCTGTGGTTTAGAAAGACCCCTCTGACTGCTGAGTGTAGACAGGACTGGAGAGGCCAGAAGTGGAGGCAGGGAGAGAACACCCCTTAGGAGGCCCTTGGGAATGGAGCTGACAGGCAGGGGTCAAACCTGGGCCAGGCAGGAGAGTGAGCACGGAGGCCTGGCTATTTGGCTGAGCTGGAGGCCAAGGAAGTATGTGCAGGCTGCCACCCATGGTGTGGCCTGGCAGGTTCCCTGGATAGCAACATGGACACACATGGCCACAGGAACATGCAGACAGACAGCACCAAAGTCAGACACACACGACAGACACAGACCAGTAGCCCCAAACATGGACAGAGGGGGACACAGCAACTCCCATGAGCAGGAACCCACAGCCACCAGGACACAGAGTCATAGGAGGAGGATGTTCAAGTGGGCGCATGCATACGACCCTCGGTGCAGACCCAGAGGGACGCAGTGAGGGATGCTCAGGGGAGCTGGGATGAACACAAGGGCTTAATCCCCCGAAGAACAAATCCCTCATTGACAGATTTCAACCTGGAATCACAGGCTGCTTACCTAGAGTGTCCTTTCCCACTTGGTGAACTTCTACTCATCCTTCAAGACCCAGCTCAAGTGTTCCCTCTTCTACGGAGCTTTCCCTGAACCCCCAGCCAGTCACTTCCTCTGTGTTCCCAACAGCACCTTGTATATGAGAATAACAATAACAATGATAAAATGGCAGCTACCATTAATTTCAACACCTATGATGTGCCAGGCACTGTGCTGACTGTGTCATATGCATCATGTCACTGAATCTTCCCAGTGACCCGTGAAATGTAGTTAACAAAAGAGGAAACAGCCGAAACCGGTTTGGCTCAGTGGATAGAGCGTCAGCCTGCGGACTGGAAGGTCCCAGGTTCGATTCCGGTCAAGGGCATGTACCGTGGTTGCGGGCACATCCCCAGTGGGGGATGTGCAGGAGGCAGCTGATCGATGTTTCTCTCTCATCGATGTTTCTAGCTCTCTATCTCTCTCCCTTTCTCTCTGTAAAAAATCAATAAAAAAAATAAAAATAAAAAAAATAAAAAAAATAAAAAAAAAAAAAAGAGGAAACAGCAGCTCAGAGAAGTTGACCAACTTGCCCAAAGTCAGAGCTAGCAAGTGATGGCGTGCGGATGCCTCCCAGCACCACAGGGACAGTCAGACTCTGATGTGGTACCTGCCTCCCTGGGCGACTTCCCCACCAGGTTACGAGCCCTTCGAGCCAGGGAGGGCTGGTGCTCATTCACCTCTGCCATCCCCGCATCCAGCCCACGGTGGTCTCAGAAACTCTTTGTAGCATGAAAAAGGATAATAACATTGACTACCGTGTCTTGAGCACTTACAATAGGCCAGGAACTGTGTCGGGGCATTTTACAGCCATTATTTCACTGTTGGAATAGACCCATTAGAAGGAAACTGCGGTCCAGAGAGGTTAAGCAACTTGTCTGAGGTCACAGAGCCCAGCCTGGATTGAAAACCAGGTCTGTCTATCACCCTATCCTAGGAAGGAGCCTCTGAGGCCTGCCTGGCAATCTGCACAAGGGGGGACGTAGGGTGGGGCACTGCGGAGGGGGTACACCAGGTGCCAGGCCCTGCAGCCCACGAAGGTTGAGGCCTAGACAAACAGACACAAGGGTGACAGGCAGCCCCA